CCAAGGATAGGAGATGTTCCTGATCAACTAGGACGGGCAAAATATTTTTTATAAGGATTCTCGAAATATAATTTCTTTTTCAACGAGCAATGGCTCCTTTCGATTCACCAGATTACCATACGGACTACTAATAGCGCCAAACGCTTCTCACTGAATAATGACAATCTCAGGTCTTTAATACAGACGACTTGATAGTTATTGGCTATTCCGAAAAACAAATGATAACAACACATAATTACACACATTTGATGTATGTCGAAAGCGCAACCTTAAGCTACATCTAGAAAAATGCTAATTTTTTATGCACGCAGTTACTTTTCTAGGTCACAAGAGTACTGACAAAAGGTATCTTACCAGTTAACAAACAAGTAAGACGTTCTAGTCGGGAGTTCCCGACTAGGGAATACACCAAATGAATTAATAAACAAAAAGGTGCCTTGGCAGGGTTCAAACTCGCGACAGACCGCACCACTTGCTATGCCTCTACTCAGCAGCCACACCAAAATTAAGTACTTATGATAAAAAAGGAACTAAAATAACATTACAGAAAAAAGTCGCAATTACCATGCTGTTAGAATGCGCAGCAGATGCGCATGAATGTGTGTGTGTACATGTATACAGAAATTCTTAAAGCTGCTGCCCCATTCAATTGCGCAGTTGCATATAATTTTGGTTTTTTCTTAACCGATCTTTATGAAATTTTCTACAGTATATCTTATTGTACCATAGAATATTTGTGTATTCTGAAAAAGTCAATTGCATTTAAGTTGTGGCTTAAATTGGTTGACAATAAAAGTTGGGTTATTAACTTGATTTATAGCTCTGGGGTGTTAGCGGGGAGGTAGCGATAGGTATGAAATGAAAGATACTTTACATATATATAATGTTCTAAATGCAACATATCATGTTTGGTGGCTCTAGCTCTTATTATTTACCCAATTGGCTCAAAAAACAGGATGTCGATATCGATGTTATCGATTACTTGGGAACGGAGTATGTTATCGATTATCGGAAACAGACTCGATCTGCGCAGGCACTGGGAGCACCTACATCTTAATTTTCAAGTCTCTAGCTCTTATAGGTTCTGAGATCCTTGCGTTCATACATACGGACAGACGGACAGACAGACAGACGGGCATGGCTAGATCGACTCGGCTATTGATGCTGATCAAGAATATGTATACTTTATGGGGTCGGAGATGCTTCCTTCTGCCTGTTACATACATTTGGATATTGCACAAATACAATATACCCTTATACCCATTTTTAATGGGTTCAGGGTATAAACATACACAGCAGTTATTACACAAGAACAGAATGGTTCACATCCACATGTAGCATACGCCTCAAGAACCTTCTCAAAAGACGAAAATGAGAAATCAACAACAGAACAAGAGTTAGCAGCAATCCAGTGGGAAAAAAATCATTTTCGTTCAAATGTATGTGGCAAACATATACAAAGAATATAAACTTAGAGTAGGTGCGTTATCAAAAATAAGAATCAAACAATTAATGAAATGACATACCAAGTCTCAATAATCACTATTAGACAATCAATAATTATTATTCATTTTGGGAGTTAAAATCTTTCATTTATAGCTAATTTTCTTCATTTTTCTTCATTAAAGGCGGCGATTGGCCAGGTCTATAGGATATATCTTTTAAAGTCTTCTTCTTCTTCGCGTCTTTAGCAGGTTCCTTGCCATGACGTAAGTGTGGTTGTGGAGCTTAAACAGGTAGTTTGCTACTAATGGTTAATAACATTTCCTACCATAGGAACCTTAAGGTGTTTTGCGATGTCTGCCATTCGAGCAGCTCCCGTTTGACGCTCGCTTGTAGTAATAAAAATAAATTGAAAAAATAAAACAAAAAAGTTTCCTTGGTAGGGTTCGAACCAGCAACTGATCCCATTACTTACTGCCGACTCTACTCAACGACAAACCACAAAATTTTACCTTCCTCGGTAGGGTTCGAAGTAGCAACAGACCGCGCTACTTGTCGTTGGCTCTACCCAATAGCAACACCAATAATTAATTAATTATTGGGCAATATATTAAATTAGTTTATTAACTTGATTTTAGCATTGTGAAGGTAGCGGGAAGCTGGCGATAGATAAAAAAAAAGATACTTGATAGTAGGTACATATATATCATATCAAGTCTGGCTTTTATTATTTCATCAATTTTCTCAAAAACATGATGAAACTCGTCTTAAATCATTATTGTACTTGGAAATAAATTTGAAAGCAAAGCTAAGCGTGCTTGCGGCAGTTAGCTCAAATTCCAAGAATTGCTGTATACTTGTACAACACACACATTCATGCGCGTCTGCTTCGAATTTTATCAACTGAATTCCAATTGCGATTGTATTGTTTTCTGTGCTGCTATTTTCATTGCTTATAAAGAAATAATAAATGGTGTGGCTGTGGTGTGGCCCGCCCCTATCGTATAAAAAATTCTGATGAAAGGTTATAAGGGGGAAATTTTGTCCAAACGGCTTTAAGCTTTCGTTCTTTATGGATGGACTATAAGTATAATCATTATTATAAATATTAACATTTCCGCTAAATTCTAGCGAAAGGTTATAAAGGAGAACTTTTAAGGATCGTCTAAACGTTCCTCAAACATTTGGTTCTTTGTGGATGGACTATGCGTATAATCATTTAATAATGATAATAATAAAATAATTTTAAAATAGCCGATAAATTCTAGTGAAAGGTCATAAGGAGGAACTTTTATGGGACAGAAGCTTAGTGCGTCAGGGTGTTTTACTAGTGTTTCGCAGCTTGGCCTAGGCGAAAAGAAGCTAATGGCTGGCCTACGGTTGTTAAGCCAGGTCGGGGTTTAGCGTTTGGCGTGTTCGTCTTAACCAGTAAAATACGAAATTTGCATGACGGAGGCGAACATACTAAGAACATACACATACGCTAGGGTAAATAAATAAATAAATAAATAAATAAATTATAGGGCGTTTCGAGTGTAAGCCGATAAAACACATCGACATCGATACTGCAAGGGGTCATGTTAGCCAGCATACAAGGCGTATGCAGTAAGGCACGTCCGAAAGAACCAAGCATGTCTCTTAGCATCGTTAATGGGTGCATTAACGGTGGCTGCTTAGTCTGGCTCTCGTGGGCTAGGGTATTTGGTATAATATTTTAACTTGCTACTTACGGCTATTTCACTCTTTCTCTATATATAAACATTTAACATTATTCTATTTTCTGCACACTTTTTGTAGAACCGCACCAAAACTCAGTAAGCCTAAAAATAACCACGTGTAAGGGTGTATAACCCTTCACTCGATTTCAAGCTTATCTCAATAAATTATATATCAACCACTCAAATCTTGGTACTCAAAAAGCGAGAGGGGTGATTGCAGTTTAGCATTCGGGGCTCTATGCCGTCATGACGGCATTAAGAACTGCGCCCTTTTTATTAAAATTGCCTGTCGCTTGCTAGTCCGATTGACTGAATTGTAAAATTCAAATGCGCTCCAGCTTATCGCTGCTTATATTGGGATATACTGCGCAAACCTGTCATTTCTCAGCGCCGACTGCGATCGCCATGGTTCTGTGTTTCTCTTGTTTTTTTCCTTGTGCGTCGTTGTACTTGGCTTGGCTTTTGTTGGTATTCGTTCTAGAGGCTCGGCTGTTGACTCTGCTGTTCACATTACCACAAAACTTCTGTATATCTCTCTTGTTCGCCCTATCCTTGAATACAGCTCTTGCATTTGGTCTCCGCAGTATAACTATAGCCAGGATCGAATTGATTCTGTTCAGAAGCATCTGGTCTTCCGTCATTAACGAACCGTAGGACAATTGTCGGTGTTGTCTTTCTACATAAGTTGATTGTTGGCGAAATAGATGCTCCTTTTCCGCTAGGGCACCTTAAATTGTCTGTTCCGGATAGACCAACCAAAGACTATCGCCCTTATTCCTATCGAAGTGCACAATAGATTATGTGCAATCCTTTTCGCGTGCTATGTAAAATTACAAAAGTGTGCATCACGTTTTCTCTACCGACCTTTTCTACCCCTAATAAAATCGTTGCATACAGGATACCTTAGGGAAGTCACTGACCATTCCCAGCTATGAGCAGGGGCATAGACTGCAGGACAGGCTGTCAATTTGCATAATGTATGTATAATCTATTGAATAATTACGAAGACTCTCGTTTTGTCGGTCATTAATAAAATAAATAAATAATAAACGAGAAAAAAAGGCTATCTTCGGCACGCCGAAGATATAATACCCTTGCAGACTCAACCTTTTCATAATGCTTATAGTGCTTTGCCCGTATCTAAGTAGCACAGGGAAAATTATTAATGCCGAAAAAAGATTTTTAATCAAAAACCTAGTTTTCGGCCGATCGTTCCTATGGCAGATATATGATATAGTAGTCCGACGTAAAAAAAATGTTGGTGTTTAATCAAAATATCTTGAATGACAAGAAAGTTTTGCATACAACAACTTAATTTGATATAGCAGCTATGTATATGATATAGTGGTTCGATATTAATAGGATTTTGCATGTATATGAGGGGTATAGTAAAACTAATAAATGCCGAGTTTGGTCAAGATATCCTGAAAAGCAAAATGTTTTTTCATGCAACAACTTAATTTTCGACCGATCGTTCCTATGGCAGCTATGTGATATAGTGGTCCGATCTTAATGTGATTTTGCATTTATATGAGGAGCATAGTAAAACTAACAAATGCCGAGTTTAACTCATTTTCAATGGGTTCAGGGTATACAAAGAAATCAAAGTACTCTGGGGGAGTGTCCGATTCGCTGTACCCTGAAACGTCCGCCAAGCATACGAACTTTCTTCTATACATACGTACATCAAATCAAGCATACACACAACCACGCAGCAATCTAGGAAAAATGTACACTTCATGTGGTTGCAATTTAAATGTTTGCATGTAAGATGTATTTGCATACAGCCGTTATACCCATTCCCATTGTGTAAATGCTTCATGAAATTTGTAAAATTACCTTTAAACGTTTATCTGGCTGCTTTTTCAATTCAGCAACAACCGATATAATTTCAGCACGACTATTTGTCACCCTTTTTTCCTTGGGAATATTGCATATTATCCGTATTAAATTTGTATCAATAACATCACTCCATGCAATTGCTAAATCTTCGGCGGTTTGTCCTACAATATAGATAGCAATAAAAAAAAAAAAAAATAATTAAATTTTTTACATGAGTAATTTGTAAATAATGTAAGCTGTAGGCTAAAGTAAGCTGAGAAAAAAACATGCTGCTAGCAAAAGATTTACTGTACTCTCTGTAGTGTTTTATTATTCGATTTTAAGTACCACGAATATTACAGAATCATAAAGAAACATTTTTTCGAACAAGCATGCTTTCTTATCAAATATGAACTTGATTTTATCGGAGGGAGAAGCACGTGATATTTTCAAAAGCGGATTCGCAGGATTTATATATATAGTCTTAATACTTAACTGATGCGGTTACATTTGTACAAGTTAACACGCGAAAGACAAATTGTACTGATTAGGTCATTGGACCAGACGCTTCTGCAACTAAGTTGCCGAAGGAACTTGACACCCGCATGCCTACGTCGAGTGATCGCCGCAAGAACGGACACGAGGCGCCAAGTCAGTGTTCTGCTGCCAGCTCTGCCGCGAGCCATGGGCTATGCTCCGGAGCTGCCGCGAGCCATGGGCTATGCTGTCGGGAGCTGAATTATGCTTAAGGCAGTTCTGAATTGGAAATTCAAACGCTCAGTTTAACTTAATAAATCATTGTATTTTATTTCGTAAACCGGGATTTGTTACTGGCGCCCAACGGTCAAAGTACCCGCAATTCGAATCGAAAATTATTAATTATTGCATCGTGTGCCGACGCCGGTGACAATTAACAAGAAAGTATAAAAATAAAAAAATTCAAAAAATCGTAGTGTGAACGCCGCGATATAAACTCTAGACAAAACTAAAGGAAATTTCAACATTTGCCCAGCGAAGGCTATAATCAAAGAAAAACTGAATCACTGTGCTTCATCCCGCATCGGCCACCAACAGCTGCTAGTATTCTGTCAGACGAGGAAATATGAAACTCATGTAAGTGAAGTGCTCATTTTGCTTGTTTAAAATAAAGAATAAGACGTGCAACGTGTATCCAGAATTAGAGTGAACCAGTTGAAAAAATTTCTATTTATTTTAACTTGAAACTTAATGTGTGTAAAATTTTTTACGAATCAAAAATTTGCATACGGTTCTTATAAATGAAAAAATTTGTGCAGAATTCTTATATACCAAAAATTTTGTGTGAAATTTTTATAAATCAAACATTTTTTTTTTGTGTAAAATTTTTTATAAAACAGAAAAACAAAAAACAAAAATAGTAAATAAATTATTTTTAAAAATCCCGTAAAAAACATATAAAAAATCATATAAAGGTTCATTGTTCGAAAAATATTCTGGGACTCGATGTTTAGAGTTGAAAGAGAGACAGACAGTAGTGACGAAGAACTGATACCTTCATACCGAGAAAACAGGACAAATAACAATATGAGTGAACAACAGCTAAAAAATCTGGATCTCTCTGGAGCAGATGCGTGCAATCCTTGCGTGTCCAGCACAGTTATTTGAGCGAAAATTAGCATCACTGACCCAACAATTCAATAGTCTTAGGGCGGTCGCGCCGGAAGTAGAAATATACCAAGCCACTGAAATTAGTCAAGGGAAAAGTTGCGACAAACCGCTAGACATAGTAAAATCTCTTCCTAAATTTAACGGGAAACAGGCCAATTACGTCTAATGGACATTACAGCCTATAAAGTTTTTGAAGCCTACAATGGGAGCTCTAGGCATTATCAAGCCATGGCCATTATTCGAAACAAAATAAGAGGGCCAGCAGATGAAGTACTTGCATCTTTTAATACAGAACTTATTTTTAGAGCAATTATTGCAAGATTAGATTTTACATATGCCGACAAAACACCGGTACATGTGATACAACAGAACCTTAGTATCCCAAGACACTCTTGAAATACTATGACGAGGTAGAACGAAACTTAACTCTACTAACAAATAAAACACTCAAGACTTATGACCCAGCCTCAGCAGCGATTTTAAACGAAAAATATAGAATCGACGCGCTCCACAAGTTCCTTTCGGGACTTAGAAAGTCAATTAAGTGGGCCGGTTTTCCGGCTCAGCCGCGCGATCTGCCAAAAGCCCTAGCATTAGCACAGGAGGCAGAATCAAGTAACGAACGAGGCATTTTTATGGAAAATTATGCAAAACACACTGAGGAATCTCAGAAAACACATGGTTTACAACAGCATAACGATTATAATTTTCAGCAAAAAAAAACCAGCTTTCCAAAAAGAGCAAAAGGAAAACCAGGGACGGCAGAAAGCAGGTAATTCAAAGCAACGCTTTCACAATCAGAAAACACAGGGACAAGGTCCTAAGCCCATGGAGGTACACTCATGGTCGCACTTAAGTCAGCCAATTCAGACACAGAATCATTTACAATCGGAAGCAACAGCAGTTGACGATGATTTTTCTGAGGCCGAAACTTGTAATTTTTTAGGGGTAGCTCCCTGCTTCGGTACATCACACGTACAGAAGCAGGTTACACCATTAAGCTCCTTATTGACACAGGGGCATCCCCTTAACATACTATCACATGATCAGTACCAGTTGACACACCATTTCATGTAAAGTCCTTACACGGACACACAAAAAATGAGCAGAAATGGCCCATTCATTTATTAAACGTAAAGACATATTTCTTTATTTTGAAAGATCTTATGGAAATCGACGGCATAATTGGCCTCGACTTCTTAAAACAGGTATATGCAAATATCGACCTTACAAAAAGTGTTTTAAGGTACGATCAGGGTTCGGAACCGATAAATTTCTCTAAATGCGAAAATGTAAATTTTATACTAATCGATGATGCGGACGTTCCCACCGCAGTCAGTGAATCTTTTAATAAAATGATAGACCGGACGATTAAGGCATTTGCAGACGTTAATGAGTCTCTACTCTACAACATAAACACTGTCGCCACTATTTGTACGGATGGCGATCCAGTGTATTCCAAGTTGGGCGTATCTGAATTTGTCAATGCAGAAGTTAAACAATTTCTAGGGAATGTCATTATAAGACCGTCCAAATCGCATTACAACAACCGTATGTGGGTTGCCGACAAAAAGGTGTCGATGAAACAGGCCATAAACTCAAACGATTGGTAATCGATTTCCGCAACTTGAACCAAAATACAACATATGACAAGTACACGATCGCAAGCATTTCGACAATACTGTCTAACATGTGTGACGCCCAATATTTCACAACATTGGACCTCAAATCGGGCTTCCACCAAATAGAATCGGCGGAAAAGGACAGAGAAAAGACTGCATTTTCTGTCAACAATGGGCAGTATGAATTTTGCAGACTCCCCTTTGCGTTAAATAATGCTCCAAGCATATTCCAGAGAGCAATAGATGATGTTCTCCGGGATCAAATTGGGAAAACTTGTTACGTCTATGTAGATGACGTAATAATGTTCTAAAAAAAAAAAAAAAACATAAGGAAGACCACATAAAACACATTGAATGGGTCTTGAAAAACCTTCGTGACGCAGGCATGAGGGTCTCCCAAGAAAAATCGAAGTTCTTTAAAAGGAGTGTAGAGTATTTGGGATTTAATGTGAGCAGGGGTGGAATACAAACATCACCTGCAAAGGTATAGGCCATTAAAGATTTTCAGCCCCAAAAACACTGTTCGGTCTCAGATCATTTTTGGGACTGGCTAGTTATTATAGGTGCTTTATAGCAGGATTTGCCTTTAACGCGAGACCCCTAACGGACGTCTTAAATGGCCAACCATTCAAGAAAAGCTAACCTTGAATTGACACCAAAACAGCTCGAAGATTTAAACAAGCTGAAAGAAGTACTAGCCGCCGAAGATGTGATACTAACGTATCCTGACTTTAAAAAGCCATTTGGCTTAACGACAGATGCGTCAGGCCATGGTCTCGGAGCTGTGGTGTCTCAGGGCGGACGCCCCATTACCATGATTTAGCGAACATTGGGCGATAATGAACTAAACTTTGCTACAAATAAAAGAGAACTTCTAGCCATTGTATGGGCTTTAAAAAACCTCCGAAATTATTTTTACGGAGTCAGAAACTTGAATATCTTCACGGATCACCAACCTCTGACATTTGCAGTGTCCGACAAAAACCCAAGTGCGAAAATAAAATGCCGGAAAGCCTTTATTGACGAGCATAACGCCAACATTATTTACAAGCCAGGGAAAGAGAACTTCGTGGCAGACACTTTGTCCCGCCAGAATGTAAATTCCCTTGAAGACTCTATAGATTCAGACGCTGCCACAATGCACAGCGAAGAATCTCTGACATACACTATCGAGGCAACTGACAAACCGGTTAATTGCAACCGGAATCAGATAATCATTGAAGAGAGTAAAATACCCACAGTAAAAACGGTTATTCTTTTCTAGGAAAAGGTAAATCACATTGTTAATTTCTTTGACCGAAACATTCTCTTGCAAACTTTACAAGACGTAATAAAAGCAGATGTCGTTCATGCAATACTTTGTGAATTGCCTATCCTAGCTTTTATTCAACACAGGCTAGTCGAAATGTTCTCCTCCACCGTGTTCAGATATTGCAAGAATATTGTCACAAATATAACCGACCACACAGCACAAAGAGAAATTTCCACTGTAGAACATAATCAAGCTCATCGCGCAGCTCAAGAAAATGTGAAACAGATACTTCGGGATTATTTTTCCGTAAAATGCGGCGATTAGCAACAGACATAGCCGCAAAATGCAAAATATGCGCTATAGGGAAATATAACCGCCATCCCATCAAACAAACAATAGGCAAAACCCCAATACCATCGTATGCAGGCGGAAAACTGCATGTTGATGTTTATTCCACAGATAGAAAATACTTTTTGACTTGTGTTGGCACATTTCCTAAGTTTGCAGCAGTGCAAGCTATTCAATCACGCGCAATCGTTGATATTAAAGCCCCGATTTTATAACTAATAAACCTGTTTCCGACGACAAAAACAATATATTGCGATAATGAAAAATCGCTGAACTCGGAAACCATTAGATCAGTTCTGACAAATAATTTTGA